CTACCGACCAGTCCTTTAGCCTCGTTCAAGACACTTATGTCAAGGATGCCCTCAACACTTTTAACCTCCAAGATGCACACACTGCCCCCACGCTAGCTACACAGGACCCTGTCTGCAACAATGATGGTCCCAAACATACATGCGCCTACCGTGAATTGATCGGCACACCCCAATATATATTTGTTCTCTCTCGCCTTGATGTTAGTTGTTCCATCAATAACCTGGCACGCTACATGACCAACCCATCTCTAACACATTGTATCGCTGCTCAACGTATACTTCGTTATCTTAACGGTACTCCTACTCTCGGTCATACCTATCGCTATCAAGCTGGACCGCCCGTTGCTGATGTCTATGTGGACGCTAATTATAACGCTTGTCCTGACACCCGTCGTTCCACCAGTGGTTTCGTCCTTCGTATCAATAGCGTCCCTGTTGCTTGGAAATCGAAACGCCAGAAGACAGTTAATACAAGTACAGCTGAGGCTGGATACTACGCCGCTTCCGAAGCTGATAAACACATTCAGTGGCTTCGCCATATACTCCATGAAATTGGATTTCTACAACACACCCCCACTCCTCTCTTTTGTGATAACAAATCAGCCATACACGTCATCACTGACACGGGTACTAACACACACCTCAAACATGTCGACATTTGCATTCATCACATCCGTGATTTGCAATCACAAGGTGTTCTCCAAACCCAGTACATCCCCTCACATGACAATCTCGCTGATATACTCGCCAAAAATACTCCCCGTCCTACACATTCTCGTCATACAGGCAACATGCTCAGCATTGTACCTTCCACCTCAGTTTCCATTCTCGGTAATAATCTAGGGGAGACCGCACAGTAATGTCAGTCCACTGTAGATTGTATTCTCCATACATATGCACACTGATGGTATTAGGGGAGTGTCAAGACAAATCCAACACTGTCATCAATATTACAGATACAATATCAGTTCGGTATCAAGTATGGTACACAAAGATGAACTGACACCTGTCATAGTGTCAGCATGAGAAATATGACACTTATGACATCTATACTCTACACTTACGTGTGAACAATATATTTTAGATGGCTAAGTGAAGGATATATAATCCTTACTATAGGATGAAACAAAGTTATACGTTACATGATTTTATATGTTCTAACATCAGGTGGCCCGTGTCCTATAATTAAAATCTGAGAAGTCTTACAATCTCTCGGGCTGACCCACCCATGCATATATTAATTTGAGAACAAGTCCTCTCGGGCTGACCCACCCATACATATATTAGTTTTAAGAACAAGTCCTCTCGGGCTGACGGCGTAAAACATTGCTAACATATACAGAAATAAGTACACTCCTGTAGTCTCACTCCCCCTCAATTTTACAATTAAGGGCTGAAGACTTAAGGGTCGAAGGCTGAAGGCTGAAGATCTAGATTGTGAAATTGTTGAATTCTCAGATTACTTTTACGTTCTCTCGGGCTGACTCACCTATATTTACATATATTGATTCGAGAACATGTCCCAAATTACTCTCGGGCTATCGGCGAAAAAACGTTGTTAGCGTATTTAGAAATACGTATACTCCTGCAGTCTCTCAAGTACAATGGATCATATACAGCAATATGTCATTATAGATGCATGCAGAGCATGAGAGTATCACAGTCGCACAGATGAGTGTGGGCATAGAGGCTTTAAGAAAGCAAACAAGTTCTTTCAACTTAACTTCCTTAGAGTCATCAATCACTGCTGCCTTATGTTCATCGAATAAGTGATTATTGGTTTTACCCCGCCAACCGTAGAGTCTGTGCATGTGCATGCAATATAACGAGTGATGAAATCAATACCTGCTTGATATTCGTTGCAGTCGTTAATAGCTTGAGTACCGGCTGTGGTATTTGTACGAAGAAGGCTTGAGCGTGTGATGCACGGAATGAAAAGTAGCGAATATATCCTATCCCCAAGAAGGCAACAGCAATGTCCACCAATGTATTTACCCAACTGACATTTCTACCGGGGCAGCTGGATGTCATTCTACAAGCAAACGCGTACAGAGCGGAAATGATCACTACAATGCCAATTCAGCCTAGATGCAAAAATGTGTTTCAATTGGAGAATCGGATCCTAAGAATAGTAGATTTGTTCCAGAGGTTGGGGTTTTTGCTTGTACTTAACGACCGCCGTTAATATACTTCGCTGCATCGTCGTCCAAAGCTGCATTAATATATAAATCGCCGTATTCATCCAGTCGCAAGCATTCTAAATGCCGAAAATCATACTCGCGTGACTTACTGGGTAACTGTGGTCCAAACCCTTTGGGTACATTGACATTTGAGATAATTTCCGGAAAGCGGGAGAAAGAAAAAAGACAATAGATAATTTAGGCGGTTAAAGGCTTTGCCTCACACTATACCAACATGGTCGGCCTGCAGGTGGTCAAAACCGAAATGGACTATAGTCTGGACGCTCTCTATAAGAGTCAAAGGAACGACTCCTGCAGTGGTCAGGGGAGCACCCACGGCTACAATCAATTGACGTCAGCGATGTCGGGCGTGGACGCGTATGTATTTTATACATGTGCTTGGTTTACTTTGTCAATGTTATGTTGCAGAATCACCACCGCAGTGACATGAGAACCGTCGCCAGGTAGATCCCAACCCGGGGCAAGTACTTCAGCAAACGGTCCGCACATCGACCTGCGCCTCAATTCAAAAAAAGTAGGTCTCAACCGATCGTCAATCGTATTATAGGATATAAATCATGCATTTCCGGCGGTATCTCGTCGTCAGCCCTCTCATGTTGATCCACAGAAATACTCAAATAGAAGTCAGCCACTTTCTGTACTGAGATAGAAGAATACGATATGACGGAAGAGATTATAAAATCAGGCTCACAGGTGTGGGCAGAAGATCAGGCGCGGATCCCTGACGAAAGATAATCTTCTGTAGCCGGGTAGAGTGGTCATAAAAAGCCTCATGGGCAGTGCGTACGCGTTTAATACAGTTGAATAGGTCACGGTCGTGGCGTGTGCGGTCATCCACAACGAAATGGTCGGGTATAGATATAGAGGCTAATCTGTGCTCAACAGGGGCAACTTATTCTGACGCCAACGCACTCAATCGAAAAGACTTGTCGACAATATCCTCATCCCTTGCGGCAATGGGGGAGGGGGGATGGAGTCATTGGAATAGCTAGGTATACAGTCCAATATTTTTAGTGGGTTTAGGACTTTGAGTTTTAACATTTTAACCCTAAAATCCTAGCTAAGAGAACACCGCTATAACGAGCCGTTTTCTAGATAAAGAAAAGCTTCAGAGCACCATTGACTGAAGAAGTATTGAAGAGGAGAGCTTCTTCAAGAAGTTCCATACTTTATTTGCACTTCGTAAAGTGAGCCGAGAGACCATAATGGGCAATGCGGGCGTGTTTGGTTTCGACAACCAAAGCATCAGAGCCAAATTTCTCAATCACTGGCAATTGGATCGATTCATGTGAGTTTAGTATATTCCTTGGCAGAGTGTTCATAGGAGTCTCAAGTCTTCAGAAATGTGAAGATAGGGTGTTTACGAAGGTCGGACAGGGCTTTTGAGGCTCTGAAGGACAAATCATTCGACCCTCGGCCCGGGTGGAACGGAACCATACTATCAACTTAGATACAAAAGAAGTAGTCTAAGCTGAGCAGCTAGGAATTTTTTTAAACCAAAAATAGAATTTGTAGTCTTAGTAGCTAGACCTTAGATCTAGTATGCTGTACACTGAGTTTACTATCTGAAAACGCATGTAGATTTTTTGCTAACTAAAGAGTGGGTGCTACTGTAATGGGTCTCAGTTGTTCGTATCTCAGCCTATGCCCCCCATGTGTTTTGACTCAGCCTACGGTCAGACGGATGGTCCTTCGTCCTACGGCCTACAGCATGAGCTCTTGTCTTGTCCTGACCTCAGGTGCTACCCTTCTAGCGGGATGGGTGCAGGTTGCATCTTTGTCATCTATCGACTATCAAGTTGTTCACTGGTCGCTTCAAGGTTCTATAATTGAATGATCACAAAATTTTATGCAATAAAAAATAGTATGTTCCATCGAATATTGGAACATACCTACATACCTACTTAAATCTGCAGAATTGTAGACGCACTAGAAATCAGATCCCAGAACCGTAGACTTCAAAGTGTCAAATCAAATCAAATTGGAATTCTTTTACGCAGGTATGTATATAGTTAATTTCCATCTTAAAGAATCAACCAGCCAACCTGATAAAACATTACTGTTCTGGAAGAAGTGTAATGATCAACAGGCCCGGAGGGTACACTCTGGATACCGAGCCACAAAGGATCAGCAGCGACTGGCAGCAGAGAGGCTTGTAGAGAGTGATAAACAGCCATAAAGAGTAGACCTTACGGGATAGGACACATGTACTATAAACTACTAGAGGAGATTCCTGTCGGATATATATTGTGTGTCCTAGTGGCCACAAATTGTTCTGTTTAGCTGACCACATACTAGGTGCTTATGGGAAAAGAGTCACGAGTGGCACGATGATCTTGTAGTACAATATTTAGCACGAGGAATTGCCAAAGAAGATTAGGCGGGATAGAAAAGACGGCAATTCTGTTCCAAAAATGAGTTGGTTCAGTAATAACGTGGCTGATAGTAACAATTAACAAAGTGATTGGTGATGATGCAAGCTTCTTGCAACCCTGGTTCAGTCGACGAGATGAAGCTAAAACCACAAAATCATACGACATGGTTCTTAAGTCGAAAATAATTCTACCACTGGTTTAAATGGTTTAAAGGACTGATCAGAACATCGTTTGAACTTCTGGTCCATTTATCAATATGTTTATTAAAAGACAGAGTGTGCAGGTTCAGGGATGGGAGAATAAACGAACTACGATTGGTACTACCTGCAAAAGCAGCGCCAAAAGATGCCGCAGAAACTGACATTGATTGGTGTTCGGGCAATTGTGCTTCAGTTGTAATTGCAGACAACGATTGGACATGAGGATGAATCGTCAAGCCTTACAACTAACAAGTCTATGCATGGCAAGTTTCTGTCCTTCACTAGTCGGCGCACTGATAGGGTGCATGGGTTTCGGCGACAATCCACGATTGGGGCTGAAGGGGATGAAATGTCGAACGAGGAGAGGCTACGGGCGATATGTGATGCGAGAGACGGTAGACCCAAATGCGAAGGAGGGTGAAGAGGCCTTGAGTGAGATTGTCGGAAAACGCATTGCTGCACTCAATGCCGTTCTCGAGAAAGCTACTGCAAATTTCCAGCAGAGCATAAACACGTGTGGTCTAAACAAACCGGTAGAAATTGATTCAGAAGAGGATATCTACCACAACATACAACAAAACCGGTCTGCCCGGTCTGTACTTGCAGAAGTGGCTGTATTCATTGTTAATCGAGTCATGTATGCATGAAGAAACCTTATGTTGCGGTCCAGACGAGAGGACATGATCTGGAAAGAGCAATTACCGAGTTCGACTAGTTGGTCTTGTACATATTTTCTACATGCTTGGAGAGGAACGCAAGGAATGCGTTTACCACTATTGTACTACAGTCGCGGCTTTGGCGAGGAAAACAGTACACATGCAGAAAAATCCGAAGGATATATGCAAATGAACGTTCACGAACCCAGAAAAATCGCGAATTATGTGATAAGTATATCACAATGTACGAGCATACAAACAAAGGAACACATTGACGTGCTGAAAAACGAGGGCATTATGTATATGCGTCTGAATTATTTATGAAACACTATATTTTTAATCTCTGTGGATGGAAGTAATATCGTATGCATACACATTTATTTTTGTAAAAGACCAATGTCAATATATCGAAAGAAAAATTCAAAAGATGAGCACAATGATAACCAATGTAAGAGAGGGATGCAATTTAAGTAATGCGGCTGTGCACGGCTAACACATATGATGGGCATTCCACAGCTTCGGGGACCATCGAGGTGATATGAAGTGAATGAGTCTGAGGGCTAAAGAAGAGCGAGCGCTAGATGAATCAATATGAGCAGAAATATCGTTGAACAAATACCAATCAATATACGAATCAGCGATTATGTATCGATGACATAATCGAAAACGCAACTAGAGAAAGCAATATATAGATCAATTATACAAACTACGTGTTCTTGCACGAATCACACACATACTATACGAGTCTGCAAACTGCGCAGAAAGGCGACCGGGACATCAAGAACAGTACGTAAGTCATTATTAACCAGGAGTACGTATGTTATTATGATAGGTATTCAATCATTTCCGAAAAACAAATGATTTTCAAACAGGTATGTCGTTCAAAGAGCAAATTCCGACCGATTATATTGATTCCAAAATTAGCACTAAAAAGGATCAACCTAATGATTTGTCGGATTTGGGGATAGAAATTCAACGCTCAAAAACCTGGATACGTGGGTATTTTTTTTTTAATCGTATTATACAGAACATTCTATTTGGTAAGGGTTCCTCTTTTGCAAATAATATGACCACTTACCGATGGATACTAATGGTCGATCCGAAAACATTGCAAAATTGGGGGGGAAATGTAAGCTTCGCCAATGGGAATCATACATGGGAGTTCGAACACCTAATGAGGAGACTATTATCATTATTTGTAGATGGGGTTTTCTTCCCGAAGGATTTTTCCTTTGGCCATGAACTTTTCATACCATATATATTGAGTATAAAATCTCTGTGCCAACACCATAATAATCATCTCCTTGCAGCTCTACTTGCGGCAGTCCAGCAGATCTGTTGGCGGACGTTGTGGACACCTGCACAACGCGTATTACCCGTATGGGAGCCAACGAATGAGTTGAGACGTGGGCTTCCCTGCCAGCCACCACGAACACGGATATTTGGTGCTGCGTGGCACTATACTATTGTTATCATACACGCAGCCCCGATGGATACAATCTTATGTTACTTGCTATTGGCGGGGGGAAAGTGGGGGGGGAAAACACCAACTATTTTTGACGACGACAGCCCGTTGATGACCGATGAGTTTACCGCGTGGCGCACGTCCAAAAAACACCCGGTGCAGAACTATGTGCTGATCCTTTGTAGATCGGTGTCCAGAATGTGTTGAACTTCATGCCTGTCGGTCAGTATAACCAATAATCCGAACGTCGACATCCTTATCTTGTGTGTTAGCTTCTGCGGAAGACTGCATATTGACGTCTGAATCGGCAGTTGTGTTCAAAATAAACATAAAAATGACTTATCCAGTCCCAGATCTGAGTTCTCTCAAGTCGTAGTCCTGAGACGTAGAGCTCTTCCTTTGCGCATGGGGGATATTTGTTCATTTAGTAGGCTGTGGAATTTCGAATAGGGTGAAAAACCGGTTTGGGATCCTAAATATTTCCGAATTCGGAATTGTCCAGTACTTTTTAGCTTTATATGAAAATCGCATGATTTAATCAAACCCGTTTGTAATATGTATGTTAAATCTGTATTGACACGCTTGGGTATTTTTTCACGAGTACTTGAACTCTGGCTACGATAGAGAATACACGCGATCAGACATATTTATGGGAATGTCAGATTATGTGCATCAATTGTGTTTTGTGTTGGTATGATATGACCAGATACATTATATCCGCAAATAATTACACAGCATTCCATAGTAAAACACTAAGAGAGGGCTGAGCGGAGCAAACAACCATCAGTCAAAAGAGATTTACTACATCTCTTAGTTCCTTGTTCTTTACCCGATGTGGTACTTTCTGTTGCACAATTTCAACTATTGGCTTGATGCGCTATACCTATCCTAAAAGATATCTGGATTAGCGTGCAATACGCAGTTGATTCCAGATTCGTTAAGCCTGTTGCCTACAGATGGCCTTATATCTATTCGGGGTACTTCATTGATACCCCGATCCCTGCTATCACTTTCAGCATGCGATTTATTGATAATTCTCCAAGCACTTGATCGATGTCATACTTTGTATCAATACCCGTAGATCGGTCGCAGGCAGACGGGTGCGCAATTGAACACTTTTTTTTTTGCATGGTCTAGATAGACTACTAACCGCCAGGCACACACAGGCAACCACACCGGGGTGCACCCCTTAGCGAAATGATTGCACATCACCACCTATGCCACTCGATGTTTGTGTCTGCCTGATGAAAGAGGTGAATGTAACTATCACTGCGCTGGGTGTACTAACTGTTTACGAGATCGGCCTCACTGCAAACAGACCTGCGGCTCGTCTTATCACTGGACGAATGAATGCTACAGTGGCAGTTTGGATCCCATCCTCTTTCGCCACTTCTCTCCAAGAGCGAGATTTATTATGCGAGTGTATATCCCACCACCAGACACTGCACGACAGGCGGCACTGTCGCAACGTCATTCGTGGGCGCACAATGACTCATCGGTTAGATCCGCAGCCGCCGGTTGCAGAAGTCCTCCCGGAAACTTACAGTCTCCACAAGCCAATGCTCCATGATGATACCTCATACGCCACTACTAGGCGGGCACTCACAAGCCCTACCCACCTATCTATTAGACAACAATCTCGCACCATCGTTGTTGCCTGCTTCGTCTAGTTCATCCTCATCATTGCCCAGGTCTTCAGCTGTAAAGTGTCTGTGCGCGCCACTGTATGCACTCAACCCATCGACAGACTCACCCGCACCCGCCGCATCCAGAGCCATCGCTTCTGCGTTGCTAAGCAACGGCATGTTGATCCGGTGGCTTCGCTGAGCGTCGGGGGAGTGTCCTCCGAACATCGGCGATGGCGAGCGACTGGACTGTCTTGACCGGCCCGTTGCCGGTGATAGGTTGCCTGGGCGTTGCAGGTGTCCTGGCTGTTGTAGGTAGTCCGGGTGTTGGGCATGGTCTGTGTGAGGATAGTCGCTGCGCTGTGCCCTGTGGTGTGTGTTGCTCAGGTTGTCCATGGGGATGGCCTCGTGCTCATCCGTGCTCTTGAGATTGAAGTGGCGCAGGTAGGCGATGCACACGCAGACGAGCCCGAACACTAAAGAGTGAGACAACGACGGAGAGACTTAAGGACATATGTACGAGGGAGAGTGAGTTAACGGAGGTATAAACATATGTACACATGTGCGAAGAAGAGTAGAGAAACGGAGGGACATGTAGATGTACATATGCGCAAGGAAGCCTGAGACAACCGAGAGGCGTTTAAACTGGTATACCGTGCTCACATGCATGTCTATGGCGACTAGTGCTCATACGCACAGGCCAAGCAGAGGATCATCTATGTACGTCCCATCATCCACTGCAACGCAGAAACTCGATATCATTACATTACCACCAAGCGTACATGTAATAATATCATAATATTGCCACCAAATCGAAAATATAATAATATCATAAGATTACCACCAAATCGTAAATACAATACTATCATAATACTGCCACCGAACGTGAATCATACTCATTACAGCCCAACCCAGAACGCCCATCGCAATGATATTGAACTCGCGGAAGGTGCCGGTGTACTGAACGAGGGGTTCAGGCCATGGCTGCGGCGCACACACTCGGTTGGGAGTGACTGGAGAATAAAACAATGATACGATTGAGAGGACTGGCTGACCCCTTCTGAGATTCAGAGCAGTGGCTTTTAAACACCACCTGCAGATACACAGCGTGATAATCGGGTAGTCAACTGAACATGTGCGGTGGAGTGAGCGATGTCGGTGTGTTAAACGTAGAACGCGCGTGTGAGATTAGCTCAATCAGCCGAATGCGACGGCTGATGCACACGGCACACACCATCGTACGATCACATTCCTACAGCCCAGCCAA